TATCATTCTATCTCCAGCCTCATTTCTCTCACTGAGACTATTTTCCAGCTACTGATCCTTCTTCCCTGTTACCAACGTTTGCGTTCCAGTAGCCCGTTATTATCAATGCATCTTGACTGAATGTTTGATCAACTTCTGACTGCAAAAGTTGTTAGGAATCTTCTATTTCCTCCTCTTTAGCTCTATTCATTGGTACATATATTTGAATTATAGTGGTATTAACTGGACTTCCTTCTATGTGTATAGATTATTATCTGTTCTTTCTCTGATTTGATGATATCCACACCTCAGAGAACATGGACTACATGAAGATAATCCATTTTATTACTCTCTTCCCTAGAATTTATCTAATCTTTGTAGTTCTGGTGGCTTAGTGATTAGAAGCTGTGCTTCAATCCCAAAGCCACCTGGTTCAAATCCATCAGCCGCTCTGTAGGAGAAGGATCTCCTCCTATGTGATTTGCAGACTCTGAAAGCGTGTTAGAGGTCAATTATGAGTTAGTTCCAACTCGATAGCACACAACAGTGACAAGAAATACAGGATTACAATTTGTAAATCTACCTTTAATGCCCTATATGATACATGCAATTATCCATCAAAACCATCATATTTTGTTAAGGATTAAGGCATAAGAGGAAAATTATCTGACATAGAAGAGATAAACACAATCATTCTGGAAATCAGAACACATTGCTCTAAGTGCCAGAACTGTAACCAAAACATGGCTTCTTTATGGGGTCAAAGCTTGAAGGCTACCTGTGAGGCCACATAGAGACAGAATAAAAAGCCCTCACTGAACTTTAATCAAGCCTTTCAGATAAATGTTAAACCATTTTACACCATCTAACAAAAGTTTTTGTTAACAAAATTAACAAAAGTTTTTGTTAATGTTAGTTGTTGCTCAGAATAGGACTGTGCTTCTCAGTGTACTTTTAAACCACATATGCATATGATCACAAAAACTCACACTTTCAAAATTTACATGTCATTTGGAATGCAAGGTAATTTTAATACCATAGCTAAACATGGGGGAAATGGATCCTTAGTTTTCACACTACACAGGCCTCCTCTCAACCCTCTGAGACTCTTGTGAACAGGTTTACCTCAGGAAGCATGGAGAAGTAACAAAATAAAATTAATAAAGGCTGCTTAGTTATTCACCTGAGTAAACCCAACTCGGCCTTTCAGTGATACTCAATGCTAAAGGAAAATCCAGCACCAGCTTTGGAATTAAACAGTCCTGACTGCATTTCTACTATACCGGCTATGCAACGTTGGGCAAATTATTTAAATTCTCTGAGTTTCAAATGTCTCATCTATATAATGTGGATAATAAAATCAGGGGGTATGGTTATTATGATGAGTATTGCAAGGAAGCAAAGAACATTCAATATGACACACCGCAGACACTCAGTGAGAGTCCCCTTCACAAGTTGATTTCCAAGACCAGAAAAATACTCAAACCCACAAACTTCTTGCTGTTGAGCCAGAACCGAGGCATAGCTCACCCCCAACTGGGTCTCTCAGGCCATACATCACACAGGAAGAGGGTACCTATCTTTCTCTCTCAGAGTCACTGGTGGATTGGAGCTACCAGAGAGGTATCGCCTAGGAATATATTTACCTTCATAAAATGGCTTGTCAAATGACTGTTATTTCTATTTCTCAAATTCTAGAAAACTTGCACAAGAAATTATACACTAAAATCTAAAATATTCTTTTATGACTGGTTTTAATAAACTGCTAGTAATTAGTTATTTATACATTATTGCACAGCGTATACATTTTCTGCTTTAATGTTAATTAAAAAACTTACCTGGGATTATTAATAACTTTAATCAGTGCTTCATAAAGCTCTCCTTCAGTAACTGTCTTCCATTCTAGCAATATCCCCATGCCTTTTGCTTGTACCCTGGTCATGGTGTCATAATGGTCCCCAAAGAGTGGGATTCCCACTACAGGTACGCCATGATACATAGTTTCAAAAATACTGTTCAAACCACCATGGCTCAGGAAGGCTTTAATATTTGAGTGCCCTAGAAAAAGACAAAAAGAAAACTTACAACACTGCATGTTACTCTAGAGATCATTTTCCCCCCAAATTTCTTAACTGTCATTATGTCAGAAATATATATTTCAAACACAGTATTTAAAAAAAAAATAAATCACTAACTCTATGTTGTTGTTGTTATATGCCATCGAGTCTTCTACAATTCATAGCGATTCTATGTATACACACACACACACACACACACAGAGTGTGTGTGTTGTTGTCATGTGCCCTCGAGTTGTCTGCGACTCATAACGACCTTATGTACAACTGTCCTAAACCCTGCTCTATTCTGTGCCATTCGTATTATCTCTGAAACACCTACCCCCATTACCCCAGTC